TATTTAGGTTTACCAAACAGTATGGTAAATAATCGTATAACAAGATATTTAGTCAATGATACCAAACTATCTGGTGAGCACATTGTCTAAGTAGCATTACAGTAATGCTTAAATACGTTTACCAAACCGTCTGGTACAACATACAATTCATTTGATAAATGTTATGAATACAGTTGTGGAGTAGTGTTACACTTTTTACCTAACCTAAAATCTAACAATGTTATATATAATTTTCATATATTTACTGTATATAATCTTCATATATTTATATAATCTTCATATATTCTAATACATTTATTATTTATAATATATTTATTATTTTATTAATATATTTATAATTATTCTAATATATTCTAAATTTGTCGACATATATTTGAAGAAATTTCATTCTTCCAAATATTTAACGGTTTCAGCGTTTACTCTTTTATAGCACGACGTCTTTACAAATTAGTATAGATGAAAAAGGAAACGTCGCAGTGAGTAACAATTAACTATCGCGTCAATAGTATCACACGTTTAGAGAGAATTACCAAACTGTCTAGATGTCTACAACTAAATGTCTCGGTATTGACTACCAGATGCGTCGAGACATCGTAATCAGAATATTGGATATGTGAACCAGATATCGCATATAAATTCACCATATTACTTTCATAAAACGAGTATAGTGTCATTCTAAGCCATTTCTCTCAGTGTATTTATGGATATCTCATACAAGGATTTGCGAAAGTTTGTCGGATATTTTGAGCTATGCTTTCTACTAATAACAAAATATAACAAATAGTAACGTCACAAAGTTACATGCCATTTCCTGCCACCTTTCAGATAACCATCTAATTTCACGTCAATAAGATCTATCGACGAAATTGTCGATCTCCCGACGATTTCTCGCAAGCTCCTCAGGAATCGCGCGCGCGCGGATAATACGAAACATCGTACAATCTCGTGAAACGCAACGAGCTGTCGAACTATAAAGCAAAGCAATTCTCGACTTCTCGACATTGTATCGAGACGCGGTCAACATTATTATCCAACAGCGTTGATGTAATTTCAGCCATGTAATGTAACTACCCGATCCCACTCGTTTCTCCGGTCGTGACCGCGAAATGCGCATCCGCGGTTTCTCGCATGATGATGCATGACTCATCAGCCGATCTAATTCATAATCTTATCGCGTTGGAAATAATCGATGCGATCTCGCCGCTCGATAAGACAAGGTTGAGCGATTACGACGTAAACAGTGCGCGCGTACCGAGTGACGCATAAGACGATGCTCATCCTCGCCAAACTTGATACCTCAAAATTCCCGGGGGAATCAAATTCGCTCAGCTCCCGAAATTTCGCAATCAATCTTTGACGAAGATCGTCAGATGTTAGAGGATATTTTATGACATGTGATACGGTGAATATATAAAGCGCAAACATGGCGTGTAATTATAAATTTAGTCATTCCAACTTGATTCCGTCGAAAAATACTATAATGATAGAAATTTTAATTAAAAATTTTGAACATGCATGATGGTGCTTCTGATGTACCTACAATAGATTTGCGGATGTTCAAACTTATGAAACACTGAAAGCGGTGTGTGTTTCTCTGCGCGCAGATCAGTTTTCCGTAATTTGCTCATTTTGCCCGCTCGAATGCATACAGCATGAATGTATATTTTCGCGAGTTATTTTCCCGAGTACTCTCGCGAACCGACAAAATACACAGGACCCGCGGTAATCGCGCTTGGTCTACTAAACGCGGAGAGGCGTACGCGCATCTGTTACACCTGATAGCGAGTGCAACGACGTACGGTACGTCGATAACGTTATCGCCGATGCGCATCATTTTTCTCCCTCGATCAAGGCCTGTCGACGTCATCCCGAATATTCGTCCCAAAAACAGGTCCGAAAATTCGGCCGGTTTGGCCGAGTGTCCGGGCGCGCGCCGCCCCGCCGGACTTTGGTCGTAAAAATCCCTCGGAAAAAATGAAAATCAGCATGTAGTCTCGAATACCCGCATTCTCACGTCATATCGCGGATCTGCGGTAGTTAATCGTATCCTTAGACCACAGGCTGACTGTTAGAAAAGTAGTTTATTTAACAAGACAATCCGCGCCTTTCACGACGCGCCGCGCGATGGCGCGTTGCAGCGCGCGGTGCATTATCAGCGCGGGAAGACCGGCACGAATGGACACTTTTATTATCTCTCCAAAGGCCGCCACTTTCGTATGCGAGCGTATATCACGACTATCGATGTTGTTATGCGTCTGTAGGAGAGGAGAGCGCGATTATCAGGCAATTACGCGTTTATATACTTATTATACTTTAGTCTCGAAACAAACGAACGGACGTCTTGTCGCTTCCAAAGCTCGCAGAAAGCCCGAGTTTCTCGACTCTCCTTGTTTTTTTCCACGGATATCTTTTTCTCTGTTCGGTGCTGTCGTTACGTATCCCAGAGCTGTACGGTAATCGTATCGGTGCGCGAGAGAAGTATTTAAGGTGTCATGAGAGAAGTCACCGGGTTTCAAGCGCGATCGAATCGGGTACGCGATAGTGAAAAGAGAGAAAAAAAATCCGGTCATCCGCTTATCGTCTCCTTTCGAGAGCGAAAATGGAAAGACAAACTAGGGAGGAAAAGAAGGAAAGAGCAAGGGAGGGTGTCCGCGGTGATTGGACGTTTGCGCCGTGCAAACACAATCGACGACCTTCCTTCCGCCGATTGAATTAATACTCGGCGAATTAGAATAATCGAATATTTACGGTACGTGCTGGCCGCCCTCGGCGATTAATCAGTGTAAGCAAACCGTGGCAACGGCGACGCCGACCGTGCCGGCCGCACAGTCGCTTGCGAGTTCTCTCAGCTCGTGTTCCGCTCGCGAATGACAATTGCATTGGTGACAACCAATCCGCACGATCGGAAGGTCTAAGAAGGAAACAGAGAGAGAGAGAGAGGGGGACACAGACACTGCTCGTCTTCCTGATGTCGTTGATCGACTTGACATTCTGCTCAGCTTGACGGATACTCTCCTAATTCCGGGTATCACTAGGAGGAAGAAGCAGACTTTGGTACACTAAGAAGGAAAGAAGGAAAAAGTGTCTGGTAATCGCATTTAATTGTAATCGCATAATGAAAGTAAAAAATTCTATAATTATACAGTGAAAGAAGAAAACGGTGAGCTTAACTAAAATTATAGTTATTTTTCACACCAGTAAGTTGTTCTGATATAAAAAAATAATAATAGTAATAAGATTATATCTCTAACAGAATTTAATAAAAAATAGTTTCCTTGACCATAATTTATAATGATTATTTCTCTATGTAATTATAATTACAAATATCAGATATTTTTTCTTAATGTAGAATAATTTCTATAATTAAAACTATACAATAAAAGATATATGTTCTTATTTCTTTTTTATATATTTTATATATTTCAGAAATAAGAAACATATTTCTCATTTATCTTATATGCGTGTTATAAAGAAAGAATATTTAAAATTGTAGAACGAATTATAGTCAGAACTGTTTATATGTGTGTGTGTGTGTGTGTGTAGTAAGTTGCTAGAGTTTTGACGATAACAATTTTATAATTTTATGTGCAAATTTATGTGCGTATTGCTTCTACTATTTTTTCGTTAAAGCAAGAAAATTTAGCTGACCCCGCAGAGATAATTAGAATTTCAGCGACCATTTTTTCTCTCAGTGTCCTGTGTTATCGTCTCAGATAATGACTATCGGCGCGCGGCGTTAGATTTTTGCGCGCTGAGAAATTCAACGTCCAACGGTGGATCAATGCCCGGTTCAGCATTTTTCGATAAGGAAAAAATCGCGCGGAATATTCCTCGAGACGTCTTCACAGGAATCCCCAGACTCTTTCTCCCCAGACTGCCGGGGATGATATTTCATTCGACGCTTTTCACAAAGCGCAAAAGCGAGACGGGCACTCGACAAAGGGAACTCACGGATGCGCAAGTTAGTCCCTTTATCGCGCACGACGAACGAAACGTCAGCCGGCGAAAATTCTCTCAGGGCGATCCGTGCGAATTTTCTCGCTGTTCTCGTTCGCCAGCCTCCTTGGCGCGCGGGGTGCGACGCGTGTGGGGTGAATGCGAGCCCCTATTTTTCCCGCTGTTTGTCGACAGCGCGCGTGTTTTCGCGCGGAGTCGATACCCGGACGAGACGCGGCTGTGTAATTATCACCCGCGGACACGGGTCAGCGAATTATCACGAGCGCAGCGCTACGTCATTCCGTCGGTGGGAATCGCGTCGCACACAAACACACACGCGCGCGCAAATCGACGTGTTTACTTGGACCGAGAAATAATTAGCGAACACGCGCTTTTCGGACCGCCAAAGGGCGCAGCAACAACCCGGCATTTTCGGACGCGGTGCGGAGATGCGAGCACAATCCGGACTATAAAATCGCCGTCGGCGTCGACGCGACCGTAGAGCGTCGATTTCGGGTTTGGGACACGGTGTGACGGTGTGTATCCACCGAGGTTGACACCTAGTGACAGCGCAGCGCGGGCTGACGCGGCACAGCCGCGTGTTCGGTATGTCTGCACTCGACGATCGATCTCTGCCTAATATTGAAGAGTTACCTGCCCGCTCGTCCGGCTAATTGGTTCGACTGTTTTATTTCGTGAGCGCTGAAAATACCGAGTCGAATCGCGCTTCTCGCAATCCAACGAAGAAACGTCACGGGCGTTTCAGCATGTTCGCAGTCAGTCGCGTTTAAAAAGAGCTATTTCGAAGGGCGTTACGCGTTGCCTCTCGAAAGAGAGAGAGAAATGCACGCGCGTTATTTTTTGTTTGCAGTGGCCGAAAAAGTGACACGTGAAAAATTCTGCGCGATTCCACCGCAGGATCGCGAGCGAGCGCGCCGGGATAATTCTCGCCGAAGCGGATGCGATTGACGTGAGGCTCGCCGCCACCGGCGCGGTCAAAACCGAAAGGTGAAGAGGTTCGCGAACAATTGCGCGCGTGATCGACCTTCGAAAATAAAAAAGCCGTGACGAGGGAAAAAAACAGCAGAAGAGGGGAAGAATAAAAAACCGCAGGAACCGCAGAGCGGAGCTCTCTCGCGCACGCCGAGTACGGTCGGTCGACTAAAGGTAGCAACACTTTTCCTCGATGAGTTCCGTAACGCATCCCGTATCCGACGGGGCAATTTTTTGTCCTTTTAGCAATTCTCAGGAGATACGTTTTCCTATTGTGCACGGGACGCGTTGCGAAACTCGTCGAGGGAGAGCGTCGCTACACTTAAGGGGATGCCACACGGGGAAACTTTACCGACGGAACACTGCGGAAGTTCGCATTCGGTTGTGCCGAATCACAAATGCCTTTGCGCGCGATAAAAGCACGTGCAAAAATGACTGGGAGCATTGCTCAGTGTGCGACGGGGAGCGATAAAAAATTTTGAAATTGACATCTCGAGCTGTCAGTCGGCGTAACTGCTTGATATAAAAGTCCCGCGACTTGCATGTACCGCGCATGTGTTTTCTCCACCAACGAGAATTTCGAGGAACATTTCCTGTATCTTTACGACTGAACTTGGAGGGAAAAGCTCGAAAATTTACGAGTAGTCTGCAGAAAGATTTCTGTAAGATGTCTGTAGAAAGAGATGTACAAAGATACGCGTGGTTACATTCTCTGCCAGCATGACGAAACAAAGCAGCACCCATCCTTAAAATAAGATCTATATGTACATATAGAAATACGAAATAAGAAATACGAAAAGCATCGTGTTGATGACGATCGTGTTTATTTTATTGACATTTTTGAAGTTCGTCATTCGCTTCCCCCTTAATCAGTCGACTCCGCACACTCATTGTGTACACACGACGTTATGGATGCCCGAACATTTCCTAGATAAACTCTCTTAAAATAAATCAGTCAAACATCAATGAAAACAGTGAATATACACTGATTGCAGTTATAAATATAGCACTGAAAGTGCTCAGTGTCATAACTGATATCAGTGACTATTCACTGATTCACTTTAAGAGAGAAGAGTTGCAGGATTTTCGGCTTTATACGTTTATACAATAGAAATCGTTATAATTATTAGAATATTTGTTAGAATTAATTATAATCCTATCATTATAATCAGAGTTACTTCTACGATTTTCAATCTTAAATATTATGCATAAGACTGAAAGTCGTATAACCTTCTCGATTTAGCAAATATTCGGGCATCCGTATATACGCATGCAGCGAAGGTGCGCGAGGTGGGAAATGACAGTTTATTAAATTAGAGTCACCATGGCGACCGGTGGTCAAGGAAGTAAGTGGCCGCGGGTAGTCGAAGTCCGAGTGTGACGGCGCATTTAGCGGTCAATTGACGACGGTTCTGGTTGCGACGACAACGACGACGACGAGACAAAATATAACGATACCTCGCGTGACGTAACGCGGGCAGACCGATGCGGTTCTCTCGTAAATGCGATCTTATCCCCGGGAGATGTAACAATCGCGTGTCTCGTCGATCAGGTCGATCGCGTATATCCAGACAAACACACACACACATACACAAACGAGTATATATTCATGCGCGATCGCACGTGCGACCCGATGAAAAATCGTCACCCTTCCCGCAGCGCGCGCCAGATGTAGACGTCCCACGATCGATCGACGTGTGAAAACCGGCTCGATTCGTCGATCGACGGCCAGTTCGTGATCGTTGGTGTTAGTGACTTGTTGACAAACGTCGGCGATCGCGAGTATGCCGACGTAGTAGCGTTATCGGCTGGCAGCTCGTCGTCGGAAGTTAATCTCGTGAGTAATGCTCTCTTGATCTATGGAGCCGAGTAAATAGTGCGATTCTCTTGAGTGCTCTCCTCGCGTGAGGTGTCGCGATCGCCTCTTCCCGACTGTGTTTCACCTCGCCTTCGCCGGTGCCCGTCCGAATCGAAGGAGTTGTGGTGTTCGTGAGTGGGCATGCATCGTACCCGAGAGAAAAACGTACCGAGATCTAAAAACAAGTGGAATATAGTCTCCTGAAAAGTCATTGTAAGAGTCGGAGAGAAAAGTATATCGGAAGCCGGAGACTCGAACCCGGATCTTTCACTTGCCGGACAACTGCTCTAAACCACTGAGCTACCCAGGCTACCGCTCCAACACACTCTCTCTCTCTCGTCTTCTTATATAATTGTTTGTTTGTCAATATGGCGCCCGCGTTCCTCAGTTCACTTTATATCTTACAGTCATAATGCTGAGATCCGAATATAGTCTCCCGAAATACAATTGTGCCGAAATATAGGAATTGTCTCTCGTTGTAGAGCCGGGTGTATTAGCATATATTCATTGGGACACAAGAGTGTACGCTACCCAGCATAATAGCCTTAATACTTACCAGACCTAGTTATGAAATTTCTTGACTACACGCGTAATTTTGCATATTCGTACATCGTAACTGTTGAGTATTCTGTGTGTCGCTTACTCGACATATTCAATAAGTCATAATGCATGAATAAGTAGAAAAATTGCACGTGGTTGAAGAATTCTCTTGTAATTAACAAGGAAACCCACACAAGTGTTCGCCTCCGATTTTCATGAACTTGTAATATGTTGTATTTTAGGTCAAAATAACAGATGTTTTTTATTATATATGCTCTTTCGCAAGTTTAGAGGGTGAATTTGAAGAAAATCGGTTTTTTTCATTTGAAGGGAATATAATGAAAACTATAAGAGATAGAAAAAATATTTTGAATAAAAGTTGAATGGTTTGAAGAGTACAGAAATTATTCGAAAAAAAATTTTTTGTTAACATTTCCCCCACCACTTCTTATTATAATTATTAAAATAATTTCTGTAAAGTACTCTTCAAACCATTCAACTTTTATTCAAAATATTTTTTCTATCTCTTATAGTTTTCATTATATTCCCTTCGAATGAAGAAAAACCGATTTTCTTCAAAGAGTTATTTCACCCCCCAAAATTGTGAAAAGGCACATATAATAAAAAACTTATCTGTTATTTTGGTCTAAAGTACAATATATTACAAGTTCATGAAAATCGGAGGCGGACACTTGTGTGGGTTTCCTTGTAAGTCCTAGTAAATGTTGAGACTATTGTGCGAGTTTGTATATCCAAATGATAAATATTAAAGATATATTGTCTATAAAGCTTCTGCAGAAAGTAATTGAAAATAGAAGACACGCTAATATTCAATATAAAATTGATTTTAATCGTTCTTAGATGCAACACAGATTAATTTCTAATTTTTTCAAAATATTTCCATTATTTTTTAGATATAAGCAACACATACTTGGTAGACTTGCGCGTATTGTTTTCCGGGTAATAGTTACTCAGACAATTGTATATCTCGGGAAAATTGTATTTCAGTATATTATATCGGTAGGGTAGACCGAGGCGAATCGAATCATAGGGTGAATCGGATCAATGTAAGCTCTAAGACAGTTATTGTTAATATTTTGTTTTAAATCAGATGTCTACTCTTTATTCGGATTTCTCTCGATATTATGATTTTTCGAGAAATGTCCCCGAGTATTCGAATTTCGAGATTTTGATTTTTTTGGAACAACGCATACTCACCATACATGTTATGTGTCTAAGAGAAAACGCGGAAAATGAGGATATCGCGACGGTTGTATAGGAGAGGATCAGCTTCCACGCGCACATATGTGACGTTCGCGCGTATATATGTGTGTTTTACTTATCGCTATTAATAAGAGACCAAAAGTAACGTAACTTGCTCAGCTAAGCGCGTATCCGCCGGCATACGTAGAGCGCAGCGTAAGGGATAAACGAAAGTAGCCCGGAAATGCTTTGTAGAGCTTGCAGCGCCCGTAAAGACGCACTCGCTCGCCGGTTTCCGCGATTCATAAAAGATTTAATGTTTGCCATGTTAGCACTTCACATAGACTTTACGTGGCCGCGCTCATGACTTTGCATTTTAACTCATGGACTTTGCAAGTCCGACTTAGCGCGCGAAGTGTTCGAGCAAACGAACAAACGAAAATTTGGATGCATCGAAGGAAAAGTTAATAATAATATTCATTGTTATCATTATAATAATAATAATGATAAAACAAGAGCGCGCGAAACGTGTAAATAAATGGCGATGAGCGCCACAGACACGCATACATGCTCGACGTCGCACATTTATCATCGCACAGTCGTCTGAACGCGCGAAATTTGTCACGGCTGCCGGCGAGAGACGCATGCGAAATCTATTATCGGCAAAATCGGAACGTACGAAATTTATCACGCGCGAATCCCAGACACACGAGCGCGCTCACGCGCCCCCGTTTCGCGGGCGCAAGAATTGCGCGAGGTACGATTTTCTTGCGCACGTCAATCCGTCTTTCTTGCAGACGGTATTTTCAACGTGGTAAAATCTGCACGAGTCTCACGTCGATTGGGAAACGTCAAGAATCGCCGGGCGATGTTTTATCTGGACAGAAGAGGCGACGCCACCACCGCTACCATCGCCGCCGCAAAATATGACTCGCCGCCGTCCAATGGAGAAGAGAATTTCGGCTGGTGGTTGAACCATTGGAAACTGACAGTATCGCCTGGATCACGCCACGACAGGGACCATCGATCATCCGGATCGTCCGCGTCGATGTTGTTCTGCATCGATTCGGACGACTCCAACGGCTGTATCTATGCGCAGGAACCATTGGACGGTCGGCAGGGCGAAACGTGCGAAAAAATCGAGCTCCGTACGTTCACGCAGGATGATCTAGATATCGAGCTGATCGAGAGCGACGCTGGAGAATCGGTGAGAGAGCAACGAGATCGTATTTATCGATATGCACGGTATTTTCAATTTTGCAAGCTCCATTTTCGCGAGAAATTCTCTCTCTCACTTCCAAATTCTCTCTCTCTCCCTCTCTCACACTCTTCAGCTCTTTCTGTCATTCTGAAACTCACCCTCTCACACTCTCACACTCACACTCTCAAACTCTCAAATTCTCAAATTCTCACACTCTACACTATCACACTTTCTCGCTACTCTTCCACCTTCCCTCTTTCTCTCTCTCTCTCTCTTTTTCTCCCTTTCTCGAGCGGAAATTCGGGGCTGATTTCTATTTAGGGAAAATCTCGAGATAAATAGCCGTACTGTGTTCGAGTGATATTCAACGTAATTCGCGGTAATGAAATCTTAACATCTCGGTAATTAGACTTCGTCGTGGCTTTAATGCTGAGAGTCCGCATGAACGCTTGATGAAATATCAACTCTCGCGCTTTAATTCAGTTCGCACAGACACGAGTCTTTCCGTGCGTGTCTTCTCCGGACGGGGATTTAGCTTATTTACCGTATACAATCTCCGCACGTGGTTGCATCTCACGTGCGGGGCACATTTCTAGAACTTCCTCTACCTATGCGGAACGTGGATTTTTATCTCTGTCCGCACGCGTTTCCCTCTCCTTCTCTCTTCTCCGCTGCCGCTTTCTTTTCCCTCTCGTCGCCGTATTACGCGAATTACAGCTAATCCGATTATCGAACCACAGTGCACCTCGGTTAAAATTAGATAACTGAGTAAATAACTGTAAAGACTTATCCGCGCGACTGATCGATATTACTTTGACACGACCACACGATATATACAGCAAAATACTCAATTATTAGCATCCCCCTTAGGCTTGTTCTATAATACGTTGTATATCGTTGTCGGACGTCGGAACACAATCGATAGACCAATCAGAGGATTTGTTTTTCGAGACGAGTTCTCCTAATTGGACCATTGATTGCGTTCCGACTCCGATATACGACGTATTGTAGAACAGACCTTAGTCATTAGTCATTGACCTTCTGGAAAAACTGGTTTTTCTTACGACCAACGGCATCTGTTCACATTTTTAGCGAAGATCTCTTTTGGAATCATAGAATAAAAAATCATAGATAAAAAGTTTAACTGCAATGCTCCCTTAAATTTCTTGGAATGAAATTTTATTCGAAAAACAAGATGACTACCAAATCATTCGAATTGGCGTCATTTTTCACTCATATACCAGGTGTAGAAGTATGAAACCGGAATTCCCCTATAAATGGTGCCAGCGTTCAGTTTAGTGACCGTAAGACCGCTACTGCCGCGCTATTATATTCTCCTAACAGCTGACGAATATTGTCAACAAACATAACCCCAACTTTCATTCTCTAGTATATTTTTGTATAACCTTAAACATGTCACGTTTCGAGCCTACTAACTATGATTTGCGGACAGCATTGATTTTCTGTTATCATTTAAAGAAAACTGCTGCAGAATCACATCGAATGCTTGTCGAAGCTTACGGTGAATATGCTCTTGGTAAATCTCAGTGTTTCGAGTGGTTTAAAAAATTCAAAAGTGGTGATTTTGACGTGAGGAACGAAGAACTATGAACTATGAACTATGAACTATGAACTGCTGAAACCTGGTCAAACCGTCAATACTAATCGCTACCAACAACAAATGATCGATTTAAATCGAACATTGACTAAAAAACGACCAGAATATGCAAAAAGGCAACACAATGTCATTTTGCTCCATGATAATGCCCCATCACATACAGCAAAACGGGTCAAGGAAACGATCGAGTCGTTCAGTTGGGAATTACTACCGCATGCGGCTTATTCTCCAGACTTGGCTCCGTCCGATTATCACCTGTTCGCATCGCTAGGACACGCTCTCGCTAACCAACGCTTCGATTCGTATGAAAATGTGGAAAAATGGCTAGATAACTGGTTCGCTTCAAAAGATGAAAAGTTTTTTTGGCACGGCATTCATAAACTGCCAGAGAGGTGGGAAAAATGTGTTCAAAACAGTGGAAATTATTTTGAATAAAGTATTATTTATCACTTTCGAACAACAGACGTCTTATTTGTATAAAAAAATTCCGGTTTCATACTTCTACACCTGGTAAAGTGAATTCTTTGTTCTAAATCGTTGAGTGAATAATCCGCTTGAAAGGACTTCGCACAAACCTATGGAAAATGGTTTTCGGTCAAATTGGCTGAAATTTCACTATGTTATAGTTTTCGCCATGAATAAAGTTGATAAAAAGTTATCATTGCACCAAGTCCCAAAAGTCAATATTTTCCAAGATATAAAAGGTCAAAGTAGTGAAATATAGTCATCCGCAGTAGTAAGACGTACGGGTATGTTATAAGTATAAGTGATACATTGATATTTATTCATGAAATAAATAAAAATCGATTTTTACACATGTATATGTAATAAATATTTAGTTCCGCAATATTTTTAAGATCTGAAACAGTTTTTTGTAAAACTTATATTTTTCGAGATATTTCACCGGTCCGATACTTTTGCCCCACCCTGTATATACATATACATATATATTGCGGAACTAAATATTTATTACATATATATATGTAAAAATCGATTTTTATTTATTTCGTGAATAAATATCAATGTATCACTTATAACATACGTCTTACTACTGCGGATGACCATATTTCACTACTTTGACCCTTTATATCTTGGGAAATATTGACTTTTGGGACTTGGTGCAATGATAACTTTTATCAGCATGGCGAAAACTATAACATAATGAAATTTCAGCCAATTTGACCGAAAACCATTTTCCATAGGTTTTGTGGGAGGTCCTTTATGAGTGAATCTAATTCACTCAACCGTCACGAAAATATATTCACTCTAATCGATTGAAAATTTGCTCATATGAAGTCAGAATTCACTTTAAGCTTGAGTGAAATATTTATTTTCGCGATTTTGAGTGACAATAATTTCACTTTTGCTTCGAATGAAAATATTGTCACTTTTCACTTCTTTTGAATGACAATAATTTCACTTTTACTTCGAGTGAAAATATTGTCACTTTTCACTTCTTTTGAATGAAATTCCACTTTAAGAAGTTTAGAGAACTGGTCGCAAGAAAAACCAAATTCTTCTCGAGTGTAAATGTAAAAACTTAAATCGAGTAAACGGGATGTTAAAATGCGTTTTATCCTCCACACATCGTGCGTCGTTTAAATGCAAACAATGTTGGGCATTAATCGATGAATATTTTCTTTTAAATAATCAATAATCAACATTGATTAATTGTCATAATCACAAATGTGATTTCTTTTCTTTTTATTATTTTCTTTGAATTAATAATTGAACATATGTATCGAAATAATAGCTCAAAATTATGCATTATACAAATATTCTTACCATTTGAAGACACTCCATTTCGTTGCGCTGAAAAATACTGCTGAACTTTACCTCCATCCTGTGACTGCATTCTGACCTAACCTTTTGATTTCATCAATCGATTAAATTATACGTGATTACATACGCGACTATTGGCTGATTTTAACGATTATTTTAGTCAAAGGAAAATTTAATCAATTGATACTCATTACTGGCCGTAAGTTACCTCCTCCAAGTCGCGCAGATCCAAACCGCGCAAAGCGCATCCTCCAATTTTGCCGTCGCACATCGTCTAACGTAAGACTCGTCCAAAAAGCACCCGAAAGCACCGAGATAACATGCGAAAAGACAGATTCACCGAGATCCATCGAGCGATGAGCGCAGGATTAATTGAAAGACTCCTCGGCTACGCAGGACAGTTGGCCCACGACCGTAACCGACGACGAGTATGACGCAAGAAACGAATCGAAAGCGTCCAAGACCGCCCGCTGCAGCCCGGGAAAACTGATTCGATGTCAAGAGTACCGGATACCCGCGCCGTCCTCCCGGTGCTCGTCGCGGGTGAGACACGCGCCGATGATCGGAGGTTGCCGGGCACGCTTGAGCTGCAGCCTCATCGATTCCGAACGTATCGGTGCGTAATCTTGCGAGAGTTCGCTCTATCCAGCCCACCTTGCCGGCCTTCCCTCCGGAAGGAAGGAAGCGACCGATAGTCCTCTCCTGCTCTCCCTCCCCCCCCCCCTTCCCCAAGTGGTCGTCCGCGGCCTCGACGCGGCGCGGCATCTGACCTAATAAAGTTTCGCGGTTTACCAATGCGCGGAATCGAGTTGCTTGACGTATCAGATTTACTTCGTTTCGCCCATCTCCCGTGCCGTCATCCCCTCCTGAGGGGGGGGGGGGG